GTGGATCTTTTTATCTTTTTAAAATATTCTTTTATTTTTATTGTGGTAAAGTATTCATAACAGAAAATTTACCATCTTCAGGATATAATGCAGTGGCATTAAGTACATTCACAATCCATTTACAAACTATCACCACTCTCCAAGTCCAGAACGTTTTCATCATCCCAAACAGAGATTCCGTACCCATTAAACAATAACTCCCCATCCACTCATCACCCCAGCCCCTGGAAACCACTCTTCTACTTTCTACCTGTCTATGAATTTGCCTCTTCCAAGTGGAATTTGCCTCCTCTAAGTGGAATTATAGAATATTTGTCCTTTTTTTTCTTTTTTAATATATCTTTATTGATTTCAGAGAGAGGAAGGGAGAGGGAGAGAAAGATAGAAACATCAATGATAAGGGAGTCATTGATCAAGCCCATAACCCAGGCATGTGCCCTCACCGGGAATCGAACCCTGATCGCCTGGATCCTAGGTCAATGCTCAACCACTGAGCCACGCCCGGCCGGGCTATTTGTCCTTTTTGTCTGGCTTATTTTGCTTATCATAATGTCTTCAAGGTTCATCTACAATGTAGCATATATCAAAATTTCCTTCCTTTTTAAGGCTGAATAATAGTCCACTGTATATGTAAACACCACATTTTGTTTATCCATTCATCCATCAATGGACATTTGACTTGTTTCTACTTTTCACTATTATGAATAAGGCTGCTATGAACACTAGAGTGCAAGTGTTTGTTTGAGTCTCTGCTTTCAATTCTTTAGGGTAGATATCCTGAAATGGAATCAGTGGATCATAGGATAATTCTGTGTTTAATCTTTTGAGGAACTGCCATACTGTCTCCCACAGTGCCTGCACCATTTTACATTCTCACCAGCAATAGTATAAGGGTTCCAGTTTCTCCACAGCCTTGCCAACACCTGTTATTTTATTGTTGGTCTTTTGATAATAGTCACCCTAATGGGTGTGACACGGTATCTCATTGTAGTTTTTATCTACATTTCCCTAATGGCTAGTTATATTGAACACATCTGTGCTTATAGGCCATTTATAGATCTTTTCTGGAGAAATGTCTATTCCTGTCCTTTGTCCAGTTTTGAACTGGGTTGTTTTTCCACTGTTGAGTTGTAGTTCTTCACATATTCTGCATATTAGTCCCTTATCAGATATATGCTTTGCAAATATTTTCTCCCATTCCATGGATTGTCTATTCATTCTCTTGATAGTATCTTCTGATGTACAAAAGTTTTTAATTTTGGTGAATTTCAATGTATTTTTTATTTTATTGCCTGTGCTCTTGGTATCACAGTCAATAAATCATTGCCAAGTCCAATGTGATGAAGATATTCCCCTATGTTTTCTTCTAATAGTTTTAGGTCTTTGATCTATTTTGAGTTAATTTTTTATATAGTATAAGGTAAGAGACCAACTTTATTCTTTTGTATGTGGATATCCAGTTTTCCCAACACTGTTAAATTGAATGATCCTGGCTCCCTTGTCAAAAACGAATTAACCATATATGCAAGTGAATATTTTTCCGCATTGAATGATCCTGGCTCCCTTGTCAAAAACGAATTAACCATATATGCAAGTGAATATTTTTTAAGTATAATGGGAAGTTACTGACTTTTTTATTTTTAAATCATCGCCCTATGGATATTTTTTTCATTGATTTTCAGAGAGAGTAGAAAGGGGGGGGTGGGCAGGAGGGAGAGGAATGGAGGGGAAAAGAGAGAGAGAGAAATATTTGTGTGAGAGAGACACTGATAGCTTGCATCCTGCAAGTGCCCCGAAGGGGCTGGTGATGTTGCCTGCAACCCAGGTATTTCCCCTTGACCTGGAATTGAACTGGAGACCCTTCAGCATGCAGGTCTTTGCTCCAACCACTGAGCCGTGCTAGCCAGGGTGAAGTTACTGACATTTTTAATAAAGGTTATCAGGCAACCCTGAGTTTCTACATTGACTTTCTTAAGTCCCTTTTAAAGGTGTTAAATATGAAGGGAAAGGAAATTCTAAATTCCAAAAATCCCTTTACTAAGAGCTTACTTAAAGGAGTAAATATTAAGTTTTGTATAGGAAGAACAATCTCAAGAAATAACTTAAAGTTTCCATTAGAGAGGAAGAAGAAATACAAAGGCTTCAATAGAAAAGGAGAGAGAAAAAAGAAAATGAAAGGTCAAAATCAGGTCTATGTTCATTACCTGCCTCCACCTTCAGTGTTGAAGATGGTAGAACAGGAAACTATGAGTGTGGAATTCAGAGTTAAGAAGTAAATTTGGGTAACATCAATGTATGCTTTCATCAAAAGAAGTGAGAATAGATACTAGAAAGCCAAATATTAACAAATGAACAGTACAGAGAAACTGGAACCTGTTTGCATGCTGCTGAAATTGGTAAGAGAGATTGATGAGCCAGAAGAGAGAGGATACCTGAAGGAACCATTCTTTGAGAAGGAGAGAAGGTCAGGACCAAGAGCCTCTGATAGGAGGATATTCTGGCCAGCAACAGTGCAGAAGGAGAAAGTGGATGCTAACGCCCGGAGGGGCGCAGGTTTGATGGTGAGTTCCCACTTGGTGGCTGCTATTTTCTCTATTGAGAGGTCAGAACGTGCCAGTTATCAATTTACTGTCTTTCATCTCCAGATCTACTCCTCATTACCTGCTCTGTGATAATGGAGCTAGACCATATAAACGGAGGAAACACGAGTAATACACGCATACCTGAGATACTGCGGACTGGGTTCCAGGCGACTACTGGCAATAAAGTCAGTTGTAATCTTTTTGCTGGTGGAGGGTGTTGCTTTCAATTTGTAATAAATGCAACATCCGTGGACTGCAATAAAACTAGTACACCTATAAAACACAGAATAGGAAAATCAACAGCAATTACATGTTCATAAACAAGGGAGTTGAATGCTTTATGCTTTTTTAACCCTCTATTATTACTGTCAACGAAAATAGTAACAGTGGCTACTGCTATAACGCAGGGAAAATACAAAAGCTGCTCCCCCCCCCAACTGGTTCTTCTGTGTGTGTGAAGGGGTCGATACCCTTACTCTAAATTGGGGTGTCCAATACCATCAGTTCTTTGGACAAAGTGAGGGAATAGAAGGCCCAGCAAACATGAAGTACGAGGAACGGGTGCCCCGTTTTAGAGCATGGTCTGCCCGCTCGGATGTGTAACTCATAGATTAATCATTTACATACTCCGCGAAATAGCTCGAGGTGAGGTACCCATGAGCCTTGAAAGCCTCTTTGGGGGTGCCAGAACCCCTCAACGTAACCTCGAGGTGTGCGTAGCACGCCCCGAGCCGGGGAAAGCGGGCTGCGGTCTAGGCCGCGCCCCCCATTCGGCCCTGCGCTCGGCCCCAGCCC